ACAAAATCACTCCAGGAAGATTGACCGCGCTGTTATAATATCAATGAAACGTAAAATGCTTTATAACATCTGCTCAACATGTCAGAACAGGTCAAATCAGTGACTCGTAAAAAATCCTCTGACTTTCATGGTGGAATTTGGTTTCAATCAATTTTTACAATCAAATGGGAACTTGAAGATAAAAACTTTCTTAAAATAGACATTATAATTATCTGTTTAGATGACAGTTAAAAGTATCAGATTATGGCGATTAAAACAAATGAAAACTTCATCCCTTTCTCTAACAGCGTGACTTTCAGAAAGCGCCTCGAGGAACGGACTTGGTAATGGCTTCTGAATTGATACCAGGAATACCAGGCTTCTGTCGGTCAAAGTCAAATGTCCCGACCCCTGGGTCGCTTCACACGATCAAAAGCCCGACATGGGGATAGTCTCAGGTATCAAAGCCCTGCCCCTTGCCCGCACTCCCCCCCCACGGGATTTACATTGGTAGGTGCATAACTGTTGGATATTTTTTAAAATTAAGCTTTATGTATTACCACACAGGGCCATAATGTTTCACAAATGTTTGGGAAAAAATTGTGGTCAATTAGAGAACTGCATGCACATGTTTGTTCAAATGTCAATACTGCAAACGGTCAGTGTAAGACGTAGACTGCGGACTTCGATTTCACCATGCAAATGTCGAGTTGCAAGCACTGCACGTTATTAGTTCTTCCAATTCAGTCTTTAGGACTGCTATTTAAGCTCACTTAAATTTATTGACAAAACTAGCTATGTTGATTCCCAATATTTGATGAAGAAGTTTTAAAAAAGGCGGGCGGAATAATGATATTGATACTGAATTTTTTAAAGCTAACATTTCTCAGTAAATTTTATATTCGTGAAATAACTTTTTGGTGCAATGTATAATTGCATCAATTCACAAGGACTGTGTTGACATATTCAGCATCCTGGCTTTCTTTATTCGAACTAGGGCAAGGTCATAAAAACAAACCGCTGACCAACTCCAGTTGCATGGAACCTATAATTATTAGTATTTATTGTACACAAAAATCTAGCCATACTTCGATTCCCAGAAAAATAGAGTATTCAAAATTTTGCATCACTTCTAAACCACTGTCATACACTATGAGATAGAAAAAAGTTTCATCCCGTATTATTAGAGGCAGGTCATTAGCAAAAAGTCTTCAAGCCGAGACCGCAAGGTAATGTGGGTTGTTTCAAATCCGTCTTTTGCTATGGCAGGCAATCACTCCAATAAACTGGTCGCTGATTTTTATGCAACCTTTAAACTAGACCATTTAGTATACATCTACAGGATCTAGTTATCACTTTAGTTTTTAAAAAAAGCACAAGGTAAAATTATGTTTCAGTCAAAGTGCACCTTTGCTTATTCTTATCTTTGAAAGCAATTTTGTTTAGCTAATTAGCAAGGAAAAAAGATATTACGTGATATTAAATTTTACATCTTATAAATTTGCACAACGTGGTAACAAAGTGGGCTTTAAAAAAATATAACCAAACCTTTTTCCGACTACTATGATAGTTCCCACTCAAGAATTAATTAAAGCTCGCCAACGTTTACTGCAGGGAATATTTTGCACAACTCGTCCAGCATGTGAGAATGTATGGACAACCACATCACCTTTATTCCACGTCGTTCAATTTATGAAATAATAGCGATTTTTCTGGAAATGAATTCAAGAGGACCAGTTTTAAGTTAAAAAGGAAAAAAGAAAAGAAAATTGTGGTCTGCTGTTCACTTCCCCTCAAACGTGAGACATTTCAAGCCGTAGTAGTGCCACAACTGCCTCGGACAAAAAAGCGTGATGCTCCCTATTGTTTGAAGGCTCTCCAAACACCTCTGTTTGAAGAGTTGTCCAACGTTCAGAAATACTCTCACTTTTTATACAGAAAGACATTCCTTATTGTTCTCAGGGACATACTTAAGTGGCTGCTAAAACCCTAGGACCTATAACAAGTCATTCTAATAATCCCATGTTACCTTTCGGTCTTGGCTTAAAGGCTTTTTGCTTTTCTTCCGACAACGTTTTTTGAAATAGCTGTATACAGTTTGAGATAAAAGGTGAGAAATGATTGTGGAACAGACTGTGCGGTATAAATGCCAACTGAACTGTTACTATGTTTTTTTCCAAATCAAATGATATTTGTTCTTAAGATTACAGTTATTAAAGATATGTCTCCATGGAGAGCTAACCAACATTACTAAGCAGCTGCTACTAATGCCTGTACCCAATTCAAAGGGACGGCCCACTTAACGGGATCAGGTTCAACTGTATAATATATTGCCTATACAGCACACATTATGTTGATTCATAATGATATATGAATATTTACAAAACAAGGAATCTGGGAAAGTAAACAGCATTGCAGTATGTTTAACAGACACATTTTCAATAGCAATCAGCACACTTTTGCCACATGCTGTTAATATTTTTATATTCTACCATTACTCATTCAAAATGTTTTTGGTCTCTGATTGGCTCCAATCTAACCAGCTGGCAATAGACCAATTCTGATATATTAAAATTCATACTTCGCTGTGGGGCTTGTGAGAATAAAACAAAAGAAAGGTATTATTCATTATTGCGGCTCAAGATGATTTCTTTTGATTTATTCCTCCAAGCCTCGCAGCCAAGTATGAATTTTAAAATATCAGAAATAGGACTTATTGCCAGATGGTTAGATTGGAGCCAATCAGAGGATACACGATCAGAGGTTTGGGGAAAAATAAATTCTTACCCAGACCAAATCACCCATGCCCTTCCCCCACCTCAAAAAACAAATGGTTGGCCCCTAAAAAGCACTGATACATTCCAATGCAAGATCATCCCAAAGTGCATTGTGCTAATATTTTTTCCCAAGATGGCTGGTTCAGGCAACAGTTTTAAAATGGTAAGTTTGATTCCATATCTCAAACCACCCTCAAATTTGGTGTGTAGGGTGCTTGTTCCTTCGCATGACTTAAGTTGGAACTTTGCTTAAAAGCAATCTGTCTCACTTACACTTAACTTATAGGGTGTACTCCACTGCCCTTCATACTATACCAAGAACTTCATCAATTTATAGAGCGGTTTGAATCTCAGAGAAATGAATAAATTTTTTGTGCAAGCATTATTATTAAGGCTCTTTATTATTGACAATTCTTAAAATATAAATTATTATATTTTAAGAATTTTCAATAATGCATGGATGGAAGTAATCAGAAGACGTGCAAAAAGATTACACATTGCCACAGGCTCCATGCCATCAAAGGAAACAAAAAGAGCACAGAATTCACATTGCGTTGATAAAAGCCATTTTCTGTCCATGCCAGTTAGTGCAATATAATGAGGTGGTAAGTTTGTTAAAGATTTTTCAGCTATTTGCAAACTCCCCTAAGCTTAGCAGCCTACAGAACTCCAGAAATATGGCCTAAAATTATTTCTGGAATTTTCCCAAAAAAAGCTCAAATTTCTTTTAGGAATGTCGTCTTCAATTCTTCCAAAAACTCTGTTAAATTATGAAATTCCTGAAAAATCTCTTAAAAATTTTATTTTTTTATGGCAGTGAATAACCACTGATAAGTTGTGGTGTAGAATAATTGTTGATTTGTTCTGCTAAGTGCACAGTGCTCTAGACACTCCTGTAGCATGTGAACAGACTGAGCCCTCTCTGTGGTTGGTAGGAATATAAAAAAATGCTATGGGTATATATATTTCCAGCATTCAGGAAGCTTAAGTTAATTCTCAAAAAAAAACACAAATGAATGAATGAATGAATGAAGAGTTGTGGATGAGAGGACAACAGACGTGCCCTCGGACATCAGCATACAAAGACGCCACTGGAACCCATCCAACCCATGATGTGACTGATGTGATGAGTGAAGGTTGAGAGACAGACTTGAACAACCAGGCATGTACATGTCTGCTGCCACTGATGTTATTAATCTACATCGCTGAGAGAGCCACTGAATGGTCCTTACTTTTAATTATTATTGTCATATGATATGTAATCTGATGTGTGGTACAACCCACGTTGTTAATCTTGTATGTTGTGTACTGTAATATGAGTGTGGCAAATTCAGCGGAAGTAATGAAAACCCAAAGATTGTTTTCGTCTAGGTCCTATGACTCCAGTAATGAGGAAAATTATTCTGTCGATTCTATATGCAGCGGCGAAGGAGACAGTGAGCCCGACTATGATCAGAATAGTGACGAGGAGGACTGCTTCTGTGTTGCATCCGATACTGAAAGGTGTGGTCTTGACGATGAAATCGATAGTCTTGATGGGGATGATCTTTATGCTGTGCACGTAGGTGTTGAAACCGCGGATCCATTATGTGTGAAGCTGAATGATTTAACCAAAAGAGGAAAAATCCCAAAGGAAAGAATATTGTACAGATACTTAAATGACGTCGTAGAAATAATGTACAACCCATTTCACAAATATGATCCCAAAGTCGTCGAGTTTTTTAATACCATCACCTATTTTGGTGGAAAGCGCACAGCTAATTTCATTAGAGGGCCTATGAATGTAGGGGATGGGCGGCACAGCCACCTCAACCACGAACAGTACAAAAAAATCAATCTGGGTGGACCATCCGAATCACTTATTCAAAAGTCCCAAGCAGGATACACTCCGGAATCCGGTGTCATCAAGCCGCTATCCTTAGGACATATTGAACTTCTGAAAAACTCTGAAGCCAAACCTCTTATCAAAACCGCCAATCTTTTGGTAATTCCTTGCGCCCTAGCAAATGATGGGACAGCACTTAAACCCGCGATTGAATTTGACGCGCGCCTCAAAGAAAACGTGGGTTTGAAATTTCCAGTTGATTTAGAATACATTAAGAAGAACCAGAAACCATCCCCGAACATCTTAGAGACAACATTATCACAGAGGCAATTGTCTCATCGCTCACGTCTTTAGATAACTTCTGTTCCCTACCCGTGGCTGTAGACTACTCAACACAGTCAGGGAAGACCGGTCAGACTATGTCAAGCCTTTTTGAGGAACACATCAAAACGTTACAGGTTTGCCAGGCATGCCAAGAAAGATTGCCAGGTCGACGTCATATTATTTCATCCAATCAAATAAATTGCACCAGTTTTTGCCACACATGCTACGACGCAAAAACAGTGTGTCCTAAATGCAAGGTGGCAGGGCAAGTCAGTTATGTACCTTCATTAAGAGCTTGTGATGCATGCCTTGGGCGAAACATTGTTTGTACTTGGCGAGTGGTAATGGTGTTATGTAGCGACTGTGAAACAGGAAACAAAAATGCTTTTGAAATATTGAACGAAAAGCTCGAAAAAGGTGTTATAGATCCCTACCTTGAGTTTTTAAGCATTTTGCCTGATTGTCCACATGTCGGTAAAAGCATGAAGGCGGCTTTTTCAAATTGGTGGCTAAAATGCAAAGATGAGAGAATCAACTTGGGTCTTCTAAGAACTGTGAGAAATCGCTCTGACAAAGCCACAAAGGATTGTTTCAGAAAACTTATACCAAAAAACGATCATGTGAAAAATAAGGACCGACAGGACCCTTCCTCCGTCCTCACTTTAAGTGCTGAGAACTTGACCGACGCATTGAAAGACATTGGATATGTATGCCACACTATTGTACCCGAACTGGACAAATACTCGGCTGACAATCAACGTGGCATGTATCCATGTCCAATCAGTATTGCCGTACCATCATATGGGTGGATTGCCTTTCTTTCGTTCGATGCAAAGAATGGTAGTTCTACCCTGTTCAAAGCTCGTCTTCACAGTCCCGTCAACAAAATCACTGTTCTCAGCAAAAACCTCAAGGTTAAACAGATCCATTGCTCTGACGGTATAATATACCTAACCTCCGACAAAGGACCTATCAGGGCCATTGAATTCTCTGAAGGAACAATCAATATGATTTCAAAGGAAAAGAAAAGAAAAGATGACCTTGTCAACTTGGCAAGAAAACTTAAAGTGTCACCGGTGGGGACTGTTGCTGAAATTTCGTTGAGACTGAAGAAGTATATCGAATCAGTCAAAAATCAATATCAAGGAAAAAGTGCCAGAAGTGACGAGATTAACTTCTGGGACAAGGAAATACAACCCAGCTTTGAGGCCATGGTTTGTGTGGCCAGTGATTTGATCTACGCAGCTGAAGTTACAAACAAATCAATCGTTTCCATCGAAGTCGAAAGGGACGGAGTTGGTCTCAAGGGGAATAATCTCCAAATAATTTTTTCTTACGGAAACACATGGGGAAAGGTTTACAGTATGTGCCTCAGTAACAGAAATCTGTTTGTATCCCATGTCCAGGGAATAAGTATTATCAACATGGAAACCAGTGAGTGTCAGTTAGCCGTGAAGCTTGACGATGAACCCTGTGTTCTTACAAGGTTTAGCACAGACGTCCTATTCACCAACCAGAAGAAGTCTTCAATATGGCAACTCAGTGGCAATGGAAAAGAGTTACGTTTGTTTGCTGGCTCTGACAAAGAAGACGGAAATATAGATGGGCCTATCAAAGAATGTCGCTTTAAACAACCAGTAGGCATTTGTACAGAGTTCGATGGTGTTGTGTATGTTTGTGACGCACAAACGAACTCAATAAAGATCTGCACCAAATTAAAAGAGTGTGCCCACTTTCTTAGTGCAATTGGCTGTTTGTATGAAGCTTTCTCTGTGCATCAGAAAGGTGCACAGTATACTGTTAAGACAGGAGAGGAAGCTATTGGTCTTGTTAGGAAATGTAGAAGGATGCTTGACGAGAATACCTATGATATTCAAGAAACCACTGGCATTACAAGAAGTCTCAATGGACCTCAAGGCCATGTGTCGGCCAGGACAGTAGCGTCGGTTTCCATGATAGAAAAAGGGCTCCAGAGATTGTACACTAACCTTGAAAATTTTGATTACGAGAATACACTAAATCTTTTGAGCTGTATGACACTAGATGTGGAGAACTGTCACGCCACCGTACATGTAAAGCAAGCAAACATGTCAATGGTAGAATACTGCAGGTCATTTGGCTTGGCAATGAAGGAGGCAGTGAAACGGGTGACCTCTTGGGCTGCATACTACCACACAAGCAGGCAATCTTGGTACCCAAAACCAGAGGGTTCTTTGCAACTATCGCAGGTTCCTATCATGAAACCTCTACCTAGTGTCAGTATGAGCTCAGCCGACTGCAACGCACTAAGGGACTGGGAATCCTCCTATGGAGCTGCCGTAAGACAGGTTTTGTTCCTTCCCTTATCTAAGGGCGGTTTAAATTTTCCTTGTTTTCGGACTGTCATTAACTGTCAACAGACGCCTCTGTTGGATAGGGAGACTTTTAAGTAATCCACATGACACTTGGACAGCAATTCCCAACTTTCACTTTGAAAAACATGGTGGACTCTTGTTTCTACTTAATTGCAATTACAGTGTCGAAAAATTAGATAAGAAAATTCCCTTATTTTATAGGGAACTACTTGAATACTTTCAAGAATTGCGTAGCAACTGCGAAGATCCACTACAGCGCGAATTTATATTATGGAATAATAAAGATATCAACGTTGAAAACAAATCGGTGTTTTGGAAGTCTTGGCGTGATAAAAATGTCTTGTTTGTGCAAGATCTGCTGAACAATCAAGGTAATTATCTATCCCCACAAGAATTTAGTAATAAATATAACATCAAGGTTAATTTTCTGCAATACTACCAAATCATTACAGCCATTCCAGCGTCTCTCAAAAGTTACGCCTTCACTCATTTAGATCTTGGAAAACTGAACTCGATTTCTGAAAATGTCGACTTCCAGATATCTAAAGATGTTAGTTTAAACTTAAAGAAAACTTCGTGCAAGCAGTTTTACAAATTGTTTACAGAGAACATTAGTATTGAACCTACTGCGGTTACAACATGGCGAAAACATTGTACTGTGGTCGCTGACAAGTGGGAGCAATGCATTGAAAACAATTATAAAACCACTCGAGATAATAAGCTAAGACAATTTTATTTTAAATTGCTACACAGAATACTAGTTACTAATAAGGAACTGACACGCTTTGGGATAACTGATTGTACTATGTGTGTTATGTGTGGCGAAAACGATTCTATAGAACATACTTTCTTTGAATGTCGCTCTTTTCTGAAATTATGTGACGAATCCCTTCAGTGGTTCAATATATCTCACAAAACCAATATTAAACTCACGCTGCTTCAAGTTTTTCTCAATTTACCAACCCCAGCTTTCAATCTTTCCAATAAACAAACCAAGGATTTGTGTCTTCTTCTGTTATATGTAAAGCAGTACCACTATGGATGTAAATCAATGCAAAAGAAAACAGACACCTCTGAATTTATATCTAAATTTATTATGCAGCTTGAAATAGAAGTTTGACATGATAGTGCCACCCTCCTCTCAGCTTTAATATGTGTAATCGATAGAAGTATTTTAATGGCCAATACAGGAACATTTATCTAAGTGCACAATTGTAAGTATTGTAACGTACTTTTGTTTAATAAATAAATAAATAAATAAAAAAGCATGGCACGCTCCCTGAGTTTATGTACCAAAGACAATGTAACATCTCAGAGAATCCTGTATCTACTGCCTTTGATGAACGCGTTAACAGGGTAGAAGATGCCAACGAAAATAATTCGGAAGAAGACGAGAGTGACGCCGAGTTTGATGAAAGCAGCGATGAAGATGTTGAAGATCATGGTCGGGAAGAATCGCTTCTTCAAGGAGAGATCGGAAGCTCGGCCACGTTTCTCCTGGGAGCCAAGACTCGATTCGGGAGAGTTGTTAGATTTAACAATCGTCTGCTCTACTGACCACAGAAACGCTGTAGCTGGGTCGACGTCTTGAAAACCTTTCAACACAGAACAGTGTCAATTATGAACATGAAACAGCCTCATAGGAGTCAACTGTTTTCCGTCAGAGTTTATGATCGAGGTTAGAAATAAGGTTAGTAATAGTAATATGCCTGTTGTATCATTTACGTATAAACGTTTAATGAACCAAAACGAGTGCGACGGTCGTATGTTTATCTTATGCTTACCATCGACGCACCTTGATTTGGAAACACTGACAAAAATATTATTGCTATTTAAAAGGCGGAACTGTTAGTCTTCAGAACGGCAACTTGTCGCCATTTGTTTCGATTTCGGTATTTGGGTAAATTTTTACTTGGTATTGCGGTATTCTCGCGCTACCACGTGCGGTATTGTGGTATTAGTACCCCCCTTACGCCCCCCTCTTTACGGTATATTTTAAGTAAGTAGATGTGGGCTTTTTAAGATTGACACGCATTTTTTGCCTATTGCTGCAAACACCCGCTCGTGAATTTCCTGTTTAAGCCACTGGAATTAATTTTAGTGTACTAAAAATACGTATATCGCAGATCCTCGCGAAGCTCGGGGGGGGGGGGATCCCGTATGGGGTGGGGGAACAGGAGAGAAACAAAGTAAATCATGTAACTTGGGAGGGCGGGTCTAATATTGGAAGCTGAGATGTACTTTAATCTCCTGTGGATTAAATTTGAACCCAGTGCTCTGGCTTTAAAAAGGATCTTCTGAGATTTAAATGGGGTTGCTGTTGTTAATGAATGCTGCATAGGTCCCATCCCATTTGACCCTCCTACATGTGTAATTATGGTCAAAAGGAAATGGGGGTGATAGTGGATAACTGTCGGCTAATATGCATTGCATTTGGTTAATAAAAGCTCAACCTTAAGTGTAATAATAAACTTTTATAGCTGTAATTCACCTAACAATAATTTTTTTCTCCAATTACCGTATTTATTCGATTAACCGCCCTGGGCGCTTATTAAATTTGTGGACCTTGAGAGTGGGCGCTTATTCGAGGTGGGCGCTTATTAAATTTTCACCATTTTCAAGAAGTGTAACATGTTTATTTTGCAACAAAACAGTAAATGGTAATAACAAAACGCGAAGAAGTAACAAAGCAAGGTTTCCGCAAAACACTCTGAAGAAAACTCCGTCTTCGGGCAACTCTGTTATTAGTACTTATTCCTTTTTGGGAGGTGGTAGGTGTAAGGGGGTGGGCGCCTATTTCAGTTTGAGTGGGAGGGGTGTGGGGTAGGGGTGGGCGCTTATTTGAGGCTGGGCACTTATTAACTTTTTCTGCCTTTAGGATGGGCGCTAATTCGAGGTTGGGCGCTTATTCGAATAAATACGGTACCAGCATTTAGTTGTTGTTTTCACTGCAGCATTATCTCCTAGCATTGCCATTCACTCACTACTACTGACACATTTCACAAATAAATATTTGTGAAATGTGTCAGTAGTAGTGAGTGAATGGCAATGCTAGGAGATAATGCTGCAGTGAAAACAACAACTAAATGCTGGTAATTGGAGAAAAAATTTATTGTTAGGTGAATTACAGCTATAAAAGTGTTTGCACTTTTTATGAAACATAATCATACTTGACAACTATTGTTTGTAACAGTTAAGTGCAAACATAATCACTGAAATAGAAAATTACAAGTAGCGATGTCATTAAGGATGCAGTTCATGAGAATTACTAAAGTGATCATGACTTATGATTATTGAATGTGTGGGCATTCACCATAAAGCACTGAATCCAAGTAAAAAGTACAAATTTTTTACTACTTAGGCAAGTGTTCATAGTTATTTGTGTACATGCATAAGAAATAATCCCTATGCAAGAGTAAATTTGTATGAAATGTGCACAAACAAGTCATGTTGAAGATGATCAGTTTCTCCGTTGGTCCATTGGTCCATTTCTCCATGAGGGCCCCACTGAAAACTGCCTTGGCGAGTTGGGCTCCCTCTATAAATATTATTATTATTATTATTATTATTATTATTATTAACACTTTCCCTGTATTACATGCATTTATTGTGAATGTAAAGCTAAGTGCAGGATGGATTGATCTTATGGAAAACCCTCTATAAATATCTGCTTGCATGTCGTTTAACTTCTCGAAACAATCTTCTTCTGCCAATGGAGCAAATGTTTTATTTCTGTGAATATGTCAGATCTCTCTGACTTTTTTGAAAGAGTGAAATTTATGAGTGAATTTTCCCTAACAGTAAAATTTTCCCTAACAGCGAAAGGAACTACCATTCCTGGCCTGGCATACCATGTCACACACTAATATTCTGAGGATATCCGAAATACAGATGTTATTTTCGAATAGTAGGAACAAAAATATAGGGGGCCAGCAATAATAAATTTTTGTCAAGTTTGACTTAAAAGACACAGCTGTGTTTATGTATAAGGCTGCTATACATATATATTTTTTACTTGTGAAGGAAATTGAATGAAAATTGTAAGCTTAAACGAAAAATTTTGTTCAATAAGGATTTTGTTTACAAATGTAACGCTTCCCCCTCACAGGTCATACATTAGAGGTGTTGTTCGAAAACTGTTCATTGTAAAATAAAGCTTACTGTAAAATGGTGAAAAGGCTGATCTGCTGTCCTCAGTCCCTTGGAAAGATACTCCTCATGTCGATTTTACAGATGGCGTAGTTCTTGCTTCCTATCGTTGCACTGAAAAAGATAATTTTGGCTGTAAGCTTGCCTCTCTTTGGTTTCGTTGCGAATTCTATTGAGCACATTTTGCTGAAACGTCAGCAGTCGGTGTTCCCACTCTTCAACAGCTTTCTTTGCAGTGTAATTGTAGTATTTTGTTGCTGCCTCTTTACATATTCTTGGTCACTGTATAGCCTCTGTCTCTAGTTGACAGTGTTTGCCTGTATCTTTAAGAAAACTTTCAAAAAATGCCTTTAAGAGGAAAATAGAACAAACACTTTTTGAGATCCTAGCTTCAGAAGACTGTTATATTGATCTCCCAGAAATCGTTCAAAAAGTTAAGTTGAATTTATTTTCCTCTTAGTTGATATGTAATGATTAATATCGTTTAGTCTATCAGTAGTCTCTTGTCATAACTGTTGTCATTTATTATTAGTAATACCATTAGTTTATCAGTAGTCTCTAGTCATTGTTGTCAATTTTAGTTTCTTTAGTTCTCTTGTTACTTTTAGCTGTATTTAGTTGTATTTATTTCCTGTAAACATGACCCGCCTAGATTAGCTTAGCTACCTGCAGCATGTGATTGTACTTTTACCTCAAAACACAATAAAATAAAATGTATGTATGTAAATGTATGTATGTATGCTGTGTCATTTCTCGCGCTGAATTTAATTTAAAGTCTACGTTCTCGCTCTTGCAGAGTTTTGTTTTGTAAATCTTTCCCAGCGAAGATTTCCAGCCACTTGCTGAATCCAACGTTGTTAAGTTTGCTGTTCTCTTTTATTTGCCTGAGATATTGGGTGGTGATTCACCAACCACAAACATTGTTATAATTTACAGATGAAAAAATCCATCTTCATGAATAAAACCCAGAGCTTTGTCATCGATGGAAATCGGTTGCCTGGACACCTATAATGCACTTTGACGTCACTACTCTGAATGACATCAAGGCAGACACCAACCAAACTCGATAGATTTATAGCCAAGAGAAAATCACGCTGGCCTTGCAGTGCTCGTGTGATACATGCGTGCTTTGCACGCGACGAGATTATAAACCGCGCGGCTCGGTTTGCGAGGAAGAAGAAAATCACATCAGGGTTGAGTTTCACATGTATATTTTAGCCTGGGTTTAACTTATGTGGTAACTCTGCTGAGTCATCATCAGGTGTTGGTGGTTTGCTGTGCTATAATAGACATTGTCCTAATTGTGATCAATGTTTCATTCAGATGGAAAGGTACGAAAAATTTCTTGATTAAGTATTGAAGGTAAGTAGGTTTTCTAACCATGTAATACATTACTACAAAAGCCAATAACGAAAGAACAGAAATCGTAATTTTTCAGTACATTATGTTGCCCAGTATCTGGACAGTACCAGTATCCAGACACTTAAAACAAACGAAACGAAGTATTTTGAATGAAAGCTGAACATTTCAGCTTTACAATGAAAGTGTTGGCGAGTTTAAAGCTTGCAAAACAGTCACAGAAGAGGCCGTTCTCTTCAGGTGAGTAAACTTTTCCTGGCTAATATTTATGCTGCTCAGAAAAGGGTGAGTAATGTGTGATATTTTCAAAGAAACTGTTTAATATTGAGTCAGGTTCTCAGAAAGATTATTAATTCTTCTTGAAATTCGATTTGTTTGGAATAACGGAGGCCAGAAACATTCACTAGGTATTGATGTCAGGTGTCCAGTATCCAGACAGTTTTTCTTCGCTATACAGAATCGATGAATTAGCTGTGTACATTATCCAGGTAAGCTATATTTCATATCTATAACTATAATTAAAGCTTAGGATATATGATGTAGTCATAAAATGTTATTCTACTTAACTGCGTATGGAAATTTTTCTTCACTCATTCAGAAGCAACTTGATTTCGTGTACACGGCTTGTTTCGACCAACTGCATTTTCTATAGCGTCGGAGTTGAACCTGGAGTTCTCATACTTTCCCCAGTTGTGACTGCTAGCATGGGGTTGCAAGGGTCTGAAAAAATTATGTCACAAAGGGATTAAGAGATGTGAAAGAAGGAGGAATTAGTGCCAGAAAAGCAGGCTTATTGTGGGGACTGAGCATGAAGAAATCAACACTGCAGGTCAGACTAAATAGGAGAGTGACCTTTGACCATCAGATTGAGGTCCCTTCCCCAAGCATTTTTTTAATAAAAAATGAAGAAAAAAAGTCGTTTGCAGATTGGCTAATTGAGTTTGCAAACCGCGGCTTCAGCATATCCACGGATGCCTTCCTTAAATCAGTGAAAAAGTTCCTAGACAAGGAAGTAAGAATTATACCCTTTAACAGCTGCTCGCATTCCC